ACACACCTGAGCAAAGTGGGAGTGGACTCCTGGCGTATCTCACACGAGCCCAATGCATAATTCATGACCAGCGCTGCGGCAAGATGAAAGGAGGAAGGGTTCCAGCACAGTGGAGAGGAGAGGAGGGGGGAGAACATGAGCTTGACACTTACAGTTTCTTCTCTCTCCCTGTTTTTCTTTTGCCGTCCTTTTCCTGGATGTTTGTATGCTCTCTGTGGGCCAAAACCAAGCCAGTGTAAAGGCTCGATAGCAACAATAGTACACCCGGAGGAAGTGTGCAAAGAGCTGCACCACAAAAGCAAAGGAGCTTACACAAACTGTGGTGTGAAAACATTTTTTTAAAACTAGGCTGTCATTCGGTGGTAGCCATTAACCCCATGGCAAGGAGAGAACTCTTTTACACAAGCTAAACTCAGAGGGCTTCATCATATTTGTAAGATAAAGCACTCCTGTGGTCTCCTGTCACTCCCTTCTAATGCAGGGTTCACACTCAAGTAGCTCTTTGCACATAGGTGGGGGGGCTGGAGCTATAAGGGAAATTGAATGTTTTTGAAGAAGATGAGGTGGAGTGGGAGCTGACCGGGGAGCAGACTGAATGGGTGCATTAAGGGAGCGGCATGTCACTAATGTTCCTGCTTGTTTATCTCCATGCTGTTTTTTTTCTCACCAGATACTCGTTTGGCACACGAGAACAGAGAAACCCGTCCTTGTAAACGAGGGAAAAAAGGGATTCACAGACCCCAATGTGGAGATCTGACTGCGTTCCCGCCACAGTAAGTCTGCGCTTACTGAGCCAAGAGTTGTTACTGAGCTCAACCTTTTGTTCACTGGCAAGCTTCATTTACAAATAAGGTGAATTTAGGAGGTTAGCGTCACCTGATCTCGCCTGGTTAGCCTGTAAAAGGAGCATTTATCATTAATGTTTCCTGATACGCCATTCAGTCATTTTCAGTGCCCCTCTATTAAAGTCCAATTAGCTGCTGTCCATTATTAAATGTCGCCAAGGAAATAAACAGGTTTACTGAGATTAAATTAAACCTTGGTGATCTTTTTTCAACCCGTCTTAATCCTTTCCATTGCAGGTGGCTGGCCTCTGAGCTGAGAAGGGAGAAAACGGCTAAGCTTCTCGATAAGTGCTCACATCTTAATCACGAGGAAAAGGAAAAAAAGGAGGTGGGGGGCATTTAAAGAGGGACTTAATCCTCTTGACTCAATCTGACATTTTTTGTTTAAAAAAATATGGACCAAAACAGTACATAATGTATTGTATTAAAGCACAGATTATAGCAAAAAGGCAGCAGATATTTGTCAGGTCTGCCACCGATGTGCAGAGGAGACAACAGCAAAGGAAGCCTCGCAGGGTTGGTGGGGTGGCAGGGGGGGCGGTGGTGAACAATGGCGCGCTAAGGACAGCCTAACAAAAGAGACAGCACAATACGAAGAAGGAAAAAAAAGCATACAGACAGCGGATTCAGCCAAACAAGTGTTTTAAGAAATATCCACCTCAAATTTAAAAGAACAAAAAAAGAGGAAATAAAAGACAAATGGGGCTGGATCTGCACATCGTATCCCCCCCTGAGAAATTCCTCATGGATTTAAGGACACGGCCCACATCATCCGCCTGGATAAAAAAACCACACACAAGAAAAAAACACCACTCCGAGGAGAAAGACGTCTGATGTGGATTTTTCCTTTTTGAGCGAACGCAAACATAGACAGGGAAGGAAACTTCTTCATTTCGGTTTGCTTTAAGTTCATTTAACTGGTTTAGGCGTTTCACATGCACTTGACTTGCTAGTTCAATACTACTGACTCTTGCCTACATTTACTCTGTCCATTTTATAGTCATCCATCATAACTCGTACACTTGAAGACAGACTGCTGTTGCACACGTACCCCTCTGTGCTTCGAAGCTGAACTGTACAAGTAAGCATCAGAAACCTAACACTCTCCCTAGCACTTAAAAACACACAAATGTTCCTCTGTGACGACATGTATAAATACTAATTGAATATGAGAAGAGTCAGAGGAGGGGTTTGACAGATGCATTGTAATTACTGTATTTCTATGTAAAGAAGAAGAAGAAAGAGTCCCTTTCCCTGGTAAATTCCTTAGAACGACACACAACAAGGCACAGGTTCACAATGGGTTCAACACATGGAAAGAGTAATAGCACATCAGCATCATTAACGTGGCAGATTCACAACCGCTGCCCTGACACCCCCCTCCAAATCTACCCTTGACTTCATCTGCTGTAACTTTGTGAGTTTTTTGCAATGCAGAAAAACTCAATGATTTAATATTTCCCTTTATCTGTGCACAAGCACACGCACATCTGCCCCGGACCTCATAAGTCTGCTGTGTATAGCCCCCCCCCCCAAAAAAAAGAAGAAGGATGAAGCGGCATCAGAGCCTACACAGCCGGTTTTCACAAAGCCTGTCACTTCCTGTTAGTGCTAAATAACCCCCCCAACCCCAAAACATAGAGAATTATTATTATTAGTTATGGCCTCCACATATGAAATCAAATATTAAACCCAAGCCTAAAGTAACAGTGGGCTACAAGAAGAAAAGCACAATGAAAATCAGTGTTATTTTTGCTAAAGATCTGGCAGTGAGGTGATGTTTTCTTTGTGTGTTAGCATCCATGGATGTCAAGAAATGGAGTCTCTGCTCCTCTGAACATTAGACATCAGTAGGTACGACGCTGCGCTGCTGAAAGTTATTCTGCATCTCGTATAATAGAGTCTCTCCTCTGCTTGATAAATCATCCATCTTAGACACAGCGGTGGCTCTCTTATCTGACGCTGGCCAGCAGAAGTAGCTGGAGATAATTCAAGAAAGAACTGAGCCTCTGTGCTGTTGCTAGATTATCTATGTCCTCTCCCCACCTCCTAAAAAGAAAAAAAGAAAAACGAAACAAAACACCCAGACCATCCTCCATAACCCAGCACACACAGCCAACTCAAAACACCCTACTGCCCCCATGAACACGTACACGCCGCAGAACCCGTGTTATTGCAGATTTCACTTTGGATGCGATAAGATACGCAGACAAAGGCTGTTTGGTATCTCTAAAATAACACAGGCCGTTTCCACTGACTGCATGATATTACACCGCAGCCACGGAGAGATCGCTATCCTCCCATTATTTATTCCAAATCAAATTTAATATATTTATTTATATATTTATTTCAAGCTTGGATGTGCAATTCAGTCATGCCAGGGTTTTGCCCTTTAATCTGTATTTTCCAGTAAACAGCATGCACACATACACTACACTGTACACAGGGACGATTACACAGATCAATAACAGGTTGAAGGTGCCAGGAGGACCGTAGCACTGCTGCTGGCTGAGCTCTACTTGAGATGTGTTAAAAGTCAATGACAGAATCCATCTGAAAAGTTTGCTTTTTACGAGTGAAACAAAATGTTCCAAATGCTGCGTTTGTGCAGGCGAACAAATGCGATGTGGGGTACAGACGCGGCAGTGGTGAGTTCAGAACAATGATGCTGCGATGTCAGGTCAGTTTAAATCAGGGGTGTCAAATATAAGGCCCAGGGACCAGAATTGACCTGCAAAGACTCCAGTCTGGAAAATGTGAATGACTGTATAGATTTTCATAGGTTTTGTGGCTTTTCCTGTTAATGAAGACCCCCCCATTTGTAGTATGCTAAAGTTATTAAGTAATAAATAAACAATTCATTGACAGAAATTTCCCATTTTCTCAGTATCTACTATATAAATTTGTCATTTAATAAAATATGTTTTGAATTAAAACTTTATATTTTATAATTACAGGCCAGTCTGGGCTATGAATTGTCAGAACTTTTCCAGTAATTATTAATATTTAGCATGTCATTTCACTGCTCCAGCCCATTTAAGATCAAAGTAGCTTCTTTGCGGCCCACGATGTGAAATGAATTTGACATCCCTGGTTTAAAAAGGCTTCAACGTCAGAGTGATGCTGTTTCAACTTTGCCCTTCATCTGATCCCAGCTGATGACGCATCAAGCAGTATGTGATACAGCATTAGTCTGTTATAAAGTAACCGTCCTGCAATGTGCAGCAACATCAACACTGAAAGTCATTTAAAGAACATAACCCCTCTGAGGGCGTTTAAAAGGCACAATACACTTTACACACACGCATGCACACACACAGACACAAAGTCCTCCCTTTTCATCATCTCCACCGTCATCTTTCAGCCTCATGCGATTCACATTTTATGCATGTGACTCTTAAGGTTGTTTATTTGCCACAGCAATTCTGTCTCAGAGAAAGATGTTAGTTGAATCCAGATAAATAAATCACTGAGAACAACCTCACCTGGCTCTGTGTATTGTGTCCAGTGGATGCCTCTGTACTGTCTGTTGTACTGCATGTAATTTCCCCCTCAGAGTGAAGACGTTTAGGGCTCAAAGTCTGGATAAAAGTTTTGCTTTCATGCTATTGTTGTTGTAACCAGTGCATTTTTTGTGCTACTATATAAAATGGTTTTTGCCAAACTTTATGTCTACATACATCTTGCTTGTGTTTCCAGCTGTTTGTAAATCCATTGATTAGATCAAGTGTTGGACTTAATGCATCAGGTTACCTAGTTCAAATGAAGATTGAGACATTTTTCATAGTGCACGTTTGAGGTATATGTTTTTTTATTTCCCCTGAAAAAATTATTAATTTAACACAAGTTAGTGGGCTCATACTGAGCTTTGAGGACAGAGACTAAGTATCGATCCAATACCAATATCAGCACTACCAAAACGATCAATATTTTGATCGATCCACCCACCTCTAATCGATCTAGAAAGCATTGCTTTCCTGCAGTATGTCTTCAAAGAAAATCCCTGATGATGACCAGACACATGACAGGTTTTCATAAAAAGGAAAAGAGATTTTCAGAGACACTTTGTGTGCATGACCTATCCACAGAAGCACACAACATACCATCAGAAGGTATATTTGAAAAGCAAACAGAGTCAATAAATAAATAAAACAATTTAAAGGTTTCCTCGGCCTTGGTTAGTGGCAGAGAGGTCAAACAACTCTTTATTCACACATTGTTGTTATACAGTCTGGATGCAAGCAATAAATTAAGTCTTTCAGAGGAAGAACATTTATTATAATCAAGTTCACTCTCCTTCCGTTTCTTGATCTCCAATTACGTTTCAGGGTTTAAGGTTAAATCTGTTAAGAAAATAAATTAAAAACAAAGCTGCAAACACACAGCAATGAGAAACTGCTGTGAGGAAGTTGGTTACACAGCTGCATTTCTGATGTCGTGCTCACTGACGTGTAAGTCTTGAGTGTTTTTGAGTTGCAGAAAGGCGTCAGTGCAGCTTACAGCGGTCGTGTCCTCCCACGCTATCCTCCCATCCTCCTCCCTCTTCCTCTCTTAATCCACCCTTCCCTCTTGTTCTCCTCACTGGACATCAATAGTCATGCCATAGTCTGGGCTGCTGGCGAACTGGATCTTACCATCTGTTTCCTGCTCTTCAAACACTATGACCTATGACAAGTCAAAAACATTGCATACCGGCTTATTTGAGGTCATGAAAGTACAGTAAGTGTGGGTGTTTAAGAACTAATGTCAACATACGCACACTAAGAGAGGAGAAAATAGGGAGAAAGAGCAGAAATAAAGTTGCAGAGTTGAACAAAACAGATGACTGAAAACTGCAGCGTATGACCGCCAATATGTTTTGTCATATTAGTGGAGCTCATATAAAATAGCATGTGCATATTATATTATATTATAAATAGTGGAGAAAAATCGAAAAAATGTTGTAGAGAAGGGAAAAAATCTGCATAGAACTAAATAAATACACAGATAGTTTTGTACGCACACATTCACTGGCCACTATGTTATGGACGACTTGCTAGTATCAGGTTGGACCCCCTTTGCCTTCAAAACGGCCTGAATTATTCATGGCACAGATTCAAGATAGTGATGGAAACATTCCTGATTGATGTTGGTCCATGCTGACATGATAGGATGATGTGCTGCAGATTTGTCAGCTAAATCTTCATGATGTCAATAAACACATCCCAAAGATGCTCTACTGGACTAAGATCTGGTTACCGTGGAGCCCAGTTGAGAACAATAAACTCATTGTCACATTAAAGAAACCAGTCTGAGATTACCTGAGTTTTTTGAGATGGTGTGTAATCCTGTTGGAAGCAGGCACCAAAGGATGGGTTCACTGTGGTAATAATAGGATGGCAACAATACTCAGGTAGGGCTGTGGCATTTAAACAATGCTCACTGTAAAAATATCCCCCACACCATGACGCCACCACCAGCAAATTGATACCACCACTGATACAAGACAGTGAGTCTTAAAGTTCTGACCCTGCCATGAATGCTGTGGCAGAAACCAGGACTTGGCAGAGCAGAAAACATTTTTCTAATCTTCTTCTACTTTTCAATTTTGTTGCATCTGTACAAACTGTAGCCCTTGTTTCTTGCTCTCAGCTAACAAGAGTGGGAGCCGGTGTGGTCATTTGGTGCTTTAACCGATCAGCTTCAATAAATGATGAACTGTCCTTTCAGAGATGCTCTTCTGCACGCCTCAATTGTTATGAGTGGTTATTCGAGTTTAGCGATTCTCCTCTGATGTCCTCTGATGTCCTGCATCAGAAAAGAAAACTACTGCTCACTGTATAATTGATCTTATTTTCAGACCATTCGCTGTAAACCCTACAGATGTTTGTGTGGAAAGATCACAGTATAAGCGGTTTCTGATAAAAATTCAGATCAGCCTGTCTGGCACCAACAACCATGAAGTCACTTAAATCACATTTTTCCCTCATTCTGACTCAGTTTCAACTGCACCAGGTCGTCTTCACTAGGTCTCTTGACTCTAGCTAAAGTGTGTAAAACAGACTTTAAACAGATTTTCTAAACGGTAAGCACATGTGTTTCTGGAGAAGACACAGTACCTGGTTGTCACCCCTGTGAAGCCAGGGTCCTGGGACATAGAGAGTTTGCTGAGGACCAGTGGACCAGTAACGTCCCAGATTCTTGCCATTGATGAACACAACACCTTTGCTCCAACCCTGTGAACACAACCAGTTCCCCATTACAGTGCGTAACGATATTAAAATATTAAAAGAAAAAAAACATGTTCCCGACTACCAATAGTAGGTGGACTTACTCATGCCTTACTGAACATCCTTTTCTCCTAAAAACCTCTTTAGAAATTGTCCGATCTCACTAGCAGAGCGAAAGAATAATATCATTGTGTAAATTTGCCCACTGAATTATAAACGAGTCAGCATGCAATCAAGCCATTTATCTGAGCATGTTTTACAGATGTGTATTAACTATGAAATAAAGACTAATTCGTTAAATCAACATTCATGACAGTAATTAGAAAACCAAAAGTCAAAGTCGATTATCACTCCCCAAAATGAAATTCAGTGAAAAGCTGATCTCCTAACAGATGTCTGCTCTAAACTGAATTTCTAGCTTGATGTCAGAATTCGTAACAGATTAGAGGAGAGATCCCCCTGATAACACGGTGACGACAGCTTTAGATTGTTTATGTGAAACTTCTGTGTTTCTGTCATCTAGAAGCATCAAAACTCGAAATTCATGCAAAATAAACATCAAGAAAAAATACTTTTAAATTTGAATTTGTGTCAAAAAAAACCAAACACCACTCAAATCTGTGAAGTTAGTGAGGATATCATTTCTAATGATGTTTTCCCATTTTGTACAATGGTGCAATCAACTGAATCACTCACAGGGAGTTTGATGAAGGTGTCTTGAGGTGAGCCGTTCACATAGAGTCTGCTGTGGAAAAACCCTGGGAAGGAGGGCTGATGGCGCATGGACATCCAGTGACCTGCACTCTCCAGTCTGTGAAGAATGAATAAAAAGTACAAATGTGAGTTATGTGATATAAATCTGACTAAAAAAAATCACTTTTAGCAGCCTGTTTGTCCGCCAGCAGCATATCACGTCCTTCATACAACATTTATTTTGCTAGCAGTGGAATATGCAGATGTATTTACACACTTCACTTTTTTAACAAGTAAGTGAATTCAAAAGGTTACAGTGATATAAGATCAGAATTTCTTCTCCGGGTAGGAATCTGCAGCTTTCATTGGTACAATGCTTTAGGACTTGACATTTTCAGCGCGGTGCTGAGGTAAGAAATTTTATTTTGAAGCTATACAGCGAGAAATACACTAGATTTGCAATTAAAATGTTACTAGGAAAAAATAAAGACCTCTAACAGGCTGACAGAGTAACCCTAGTGTTCATTAGCAATGAGAAAAACGAAATAAATAAATTGCAGTGTGGGGTACAAATGTGGAGCACAAATATGGCAATATGAGAGGGGATTCTAATAATGCAATCGTGAGGGGAAAGCATTTGGTCCATGCAGAGTGCCACCTCCTGCAAAATGGCCTTTTAATGTTTGACTGTAGTGTTGTGCTTCCATGTATAGAAACCACCAGACCCGATGACCATAATGGCATTGATGGCACATTCAAGGTAGGTAGGTCATAGCATCAAAAAACTGCAAGCTGAACTCTCTGAAAATAACACAGATCAGTTTCCACTGCAGAGCTATGTTCAGTTCTTGCATTTGTGTGGCCTGCCCTTGAAGGTAAAAGCCTCAAAGAACATTTCCAGAAAAACAGCAAACATACTGCAGTATTCAATGCCTGCTCTGTTTATCCATGCTAGTCCATTTCTACCCTCAGTGCCTCTTTGTCTTTGCAGTAATTTTGATGTTTTGGAGCTCTTGTAAGGCCTAGGATGAAAAGGAAGGACACTCAGGACACGGGTATGAAGGGGATAAATTATCACCCAGCTCAGTTTATTCTTTAACAGAACATATTTATGCTCATTCAGCAGGTCTGCTAATTTATCCAGATAAAGCTTATGCTTATGCAAGAAGCCTGGAGAACTATTCTTGAAGACTACTTAAAGAATCTATAGAAAAACTTGTCTAAGAGAGTTCAGGCTGTGTCAAAGAATAAAGGTAGTCATACCAAATATTGACTTTTAAGCGTCTAACAAACTTCTAACAAAATATAAAGAAATCAGGGTTGGTGCAAGACTTTTACATAGTACTGTATGTTTTTAATGACATTTTGTTGTGTGTTCAACACTTATCTATGACATGGTTGTCCTTGGGCATGGAATTGGCATTTTATATATTGACTTGCCTTTAGAGCCACTAAGTGCTACTAACTCATTGGACCACCACATATTGGGTTAAAGTATAAAAAAGTACAGTTGATGTTTAAAGAGAGCAGAGTGAGGTGGGAACTCATTTTTGTGACTGACCCTCTTGGTTATGCATTTCTGCCAGTTCTTTTCTCGGTGTGCAAAATATAGGGAGGGAAATATTGAAATCAAGTGTGCAAATATATTTACTAACATTTCCTAAACACAATTTACTGCAAAGCGTGGCGATACTTAACTCCAAAAAAAGAATGTCTTATTCTTTGGTCCTGAAATGGTGCCAATTATTGCTGCACTTAGGAGCCACCTCAGAGGTGTAAGGGTCCGTGCTAGAAGAGAGAGACGCTTCTCCACTCGTGCCAATTTATTTGGAACATCGGACAAAGATGTGATTAAAAACATATCATTTACAAAGTTTGCTCAATGAACTCAGAGATGACCTGGAACCTCCAACCTGAAGGAGTCACAAGATACCAGTGACAACCAAACTTCCAGTTTTTGCCAGCAGATTCTTTTCAACATATTGCGAGTGCTATCTCACAACCTGCAACTGGTTCCAACAGGAAAGTACGGCAGAACGGCGAGAACAGAGGGATGACAATGTTGACTTTGAACCCTACAATTTAACCGTAGAATTTTGAACTTATCATTTCAGGACCATGGAAAGTGCAAGTAGTTTTCACAGTGCTCAGTGTGCCATTAAGTCTGCAAACCTGTTGTTTTTACTAAACAAATCCATCTCTCAAACCCATCCCTTGCAGTTATTGGCAGATTTAACATGTCTTATTGAAATCAAGTGACTGTGTTTAGAAAACAGCACAACTTTTGTACATCACTTGTAAAACTAACCCCGCCTGTCAGCGTTATTTGGGGATTATGCTCACACTTTATTTTTGCCCCATTTAGTAAATCTGGCCCTTAATGCTTTTAACTGAAGATGTTTTTGATGGTTTTTTTGTTTTGCATTCTGGCATCATCTTCCCACTATCAGGATGGTGATAAGCAGGATTATTACTAAATGGATTGGATAAGAAAAGGCAAGTTTAAAGACGGGGAAACACAAACGTTGGTGGGGAAACTGAATAATAACTGACACATACAAACCTGTTTACAAAGGCAGGCTTCATATCCAGACTGTGAATATTGAAGTCTCGGAGGGTGTGCTCGTTTAGCAGAATATCGCCAACAAGACCTGAAAGGTGAGTCAAAGCTGCTTCAGTTTCTTTATGGATCTTAAAACAATGTTAATGAGTTTCTCTAAGGCTCTCAAATAAAAGGAAAAGATTTCAAGGCAAGACTCGTCTGACTGGAATGTCTGCAAAGCCATCTGTTTGTTAAACTGCTTGCACCTTTGCGCTGTTCATCCAGGGTTTTTCCATAATTCACTCTTCCACAGTTCTCCACCAGTAAGCCCAGAGTTCTTTTTCCCTTCAGTGGGAAAATACATAAAACATTAAAGGGCATTAATAGAAGAACAGCAGCATTAGCACACAAAAAAATCCATTCAGTTGTTTTGATTTTAGCAACTCATCAAGGCTGATGTGTGTCTACTGTTTTCTGTAAGGCTCAAGGTGACTTTCTCATTTGTTAGGATAAACAGTTGTTTGAAAATTTGCTGTTGGCTTAATACTGGGACCCAGCTGCCAAAAAAAACACCCGGCAGCATCCCCTGAAGCTTTCAGATGCAGCATTCTGTTAAATATTTACAACTTTATTCTTTTCAAACAGCCAACTGTGTCACATTTTCACAGAGAAGGACAGACAGACTCAAAAGTTACCTTCCCATCAGGTACAGCAAGTTCTTGCACCGTATAGTCCAAAACGCCTACAAAATGTTTATCCACAAAAACCTGGGGAAAAGAAGGAAAGTTGAACATAGATGTATTTGTCTTTCACTGCATTCAATCTTTCCTGAGAACTGCCCACTAATACCAGACCAAATGGTCGCAGCCTTGACTTGTAATCCACAAGTACGCTGATCATGGGTGTGATTTCTAACAAGGAAATCGCAGCTTTCTAGGTCCAAATGTTGTCACAAAGACTGTGGATGGACTGTGTGTGTGTCTGTCTTCCTGTCCTTACCAGAGCTCTGTCTCTGACATTGTTCTGCGACTTGAGAGCTCCGCCACTGGTGATGGTGGTCTCATAGAGCGTGTAGCCATATGACTGACCATTGTTATTGTTCACGGGGAGATTCTCCATGTTCACCGGCCTCTCCGACTTGAAAGGCTACAAGATATGCATAAGACAGGTATTTTAACACACAGCATAAATACATATATATACAGTTTGTGTGTGAAATTCGGATTTTTAAAAATATGAATGAATAAAATACAAGATAACCTCTCTCAATACAGATCTGATAAGTCTTCCACTTGCAATATGACCTGATGTTAGTGTTTACCATTAACATTGGCGCTTTCCTATCTGCTGCTCTTTTATTCGGCAACAATCTCCTACCCTTGGGAGGCGCATTATCTACCTTTCACGAGACAATAACCACTCCCTGCTATGACACGATTAACCACATACCTCCAAATGCACAGATACAATATCAAGCTCAGACAACCCACTCAGCAGCTCTGGAGCGGCTGGAGAGAAAACATGCTTTTTAAACAAGGGTGTGCGGCTGGACAGGGGCACAGTAATTGCCGTCTCACAGGAAAGCAAATTATTGCGATGGGGAGTGAATAATTAATGTTGTAAGCAACTGCCAGACCTGCTACATCTGCTCTGAATATAAATGCCATTGAAGAACAAGGCGTAAATGGCTAAATTAGACTGGTAGACATGAAAATAAGCAGAAATGACAACACCACCTTAAAAGGTTGGTTGGTGTTTAACCTTAATTGTTTTCTTCTTCCTCCTCTTTAGCAAAGGGACATTTGTTTTTTTTGTGCGTGTGTGTCGCATTCGGGCTTTTATTTCCACAACAGTCATGAAGCTGCACACGGCTGATTTCTGCTGCTCCCCGAGCAGGCCGCCGGTGTAGTTAGGAGAAAATGTCTTGCTCCGAGCGCTGTTGTTCATTTTCTCGTTCAGACTTCTCACAATAGCAATTCACCAGAATCATTTAAAATTAGCCGGGACACGTGCCTTGTGTGATAATGCTTTGTTTTTGGATCATTTAAAAAATGAGACACAAAAAAATGCTCAACTAAAGATGCATATAAACAAACCCCAAAGAGCACAGATGATTAATTTGACAAACTACAGCTAAAGTTCCTTATCATTAATCTTTTTATTATTATCATTAGGAGTTAGAAAAGCTAGAAAAGTGGCTCCAAAAGTTAACAAAGGTAACAACCAAAGGCTAACAGTAAATTGTCTGTGAGCTTGGTTGCATTTCTTATGTATTCTCTCTGTAAACAACCTTGCAGCTTTGCTACACCGTGCAGATGAGCGTTGCTTCGTGAGACGCTGTTATTGTTTATTAATGCGTTCCCCATATTTTGGCACTCGCACTGCGGCTGTAGCTTACCTTGTCAGTGAAGCGCAGACTGTCCCACAGAGAGATGTGCTGCTGGATGACAGCGGGCTGGTATGCTCTCCGCTCATGAACAGGGGGCAGTTCAGGGAGAGGCTGAGCTGTGAAAACAAGGTGGGAAAAATAAGCATAGCCTGCAGTTTGGCTCTCTGTCCTTATCCTCTATTCACCACAAGGAGCTTTATTCTTTAGGGAGCTTTTGTAATTATAAAAGGAGTTTGCCTGCCTGTACATGTTCTATACAGACGGGCGACGAATGAAATTCAAGTCTCTCTTAAGAAATTAACAAATATGTGGACCCTCTCACTGTAGTGGTCAAGGATTCAGCTTCTTCCTTTAGTTTGTCAGCTATTAAGAACAATTTTGAATACTGCTGCAAATACAAAGAAGATCTGTTACATCTGGCATGTGAATGATACACTGAAATAGAGAAAAGGTTGCTGGACATCCTCCTAGATTATTAAACCACGACCTCGTACAAGACTTTCATTCTCCAGCCTTTAGATGCTGTCCCTGAAAAACTGTTTGAGCCTCCTTGGATGAGCCACAAAAAGTCCTCAGCAGCATCCAGTTTGCATTCCAGTTTACAGTCTCTTTACAACGATTAGCAGTGGTTGCCCATGCCCTCTAACAACTTTTAAAGGCGTTAAAGCACACAGTGGAAGAAGTTTCACATGGCCAAGTGGTAACAGCTGGAATAGCCAACACCTTTCCTCTAAATATCTCTCTCACTGCCTCAGCGGTGGATCAAGTCTAACATAAGATGACTAAGAACACATACAGACACTAACTACAGACTTAAGGCCTGCCTTAAATTCAATAATTTAAGTGATTTAATGTACCGTTCTGTAAGTGTGTTCTGTTGTTTATAGCAGCGAAATAATACGAAATGCCCAAAGAATATAAAATCATAGGCTTGTTTTAAGAGCCATGAACCTTGACAGAGTTCGGGCAGTCAAAGGTAAATCTAAAAAAAAAAAAAAAAAAAACACTCCAGGAAAAAGACACAGCTCTGACACAACGTACATGATGACAACCAAACAATAAAAACATATCAAGTTGATCTAATTAAGGAATTAGGTCATGTGTTCGCAGCTGCCGAGAAGAACACAGAGCAGTTTCAGACTCTCATATCCGGGCCATTGCTCATGCTCAGCAGACTACAAACCATAAGGATGAATCACGCACAGGCAGCCTTTCAAACTATCTTCAATCACCACGGTGTTGAGCAAATTATTAGCTTGTTGTGCTGGATTCAATCCCAGATTGCCGAAAGCTAGCCATAGCCACAGAACACTTGAGACTCCTGCACCCGACCGCAAAACCCTTGTTTTACAAAGAGGGAAAACTGCCTAACCAATAAACGTGACAGAAGGCCGAGGATGTAATTTTGAAGATGAGCAGTAATTGAGGGTCATTGACTTGGACACATTTCTGCCACACATGCACAAACCCTCAGACACACACACAAAAACATATCTGTAATCCATGCTTGTAATCATATGCAAAGTGATCCTGCTTTAGCCAACAGAGAACAGGTTCTACAAGGAGAATTTACTAAAGAGGGCGATGGAAGAAAAAGGAGGGGAAGAAGGAGCGATAGAAGATCTGGGAGCCCGTCTCGCCAGCAACGCACAACACTCACTGTGGTAGTGGCTGAATAAATTCCTCAGAAGATGGTACTTGTTGGTGTAATCCCCAGCCTCGGATAATGGAGCATCGTAATCTGAAAGATAATGCGCTATCAGAACATAGGCTCGGGAGGCAGAGAGGGAGGCAGAGATGCCTCTTACTGTGGCAGATGCTTTCACTGTGCGCCCCTATCAAACATCTCGAGGCAGCAGCGGGCCGAGACATATTGCACTTTATCTTGACAGAAAATGGAGGCTTTGTGAGGCAAAAAAGGTAAAAAGGCATTGGGAGAAATAAACACAAGTATGAGGGGCTGCTGAAGGTCAGAGGTGGCCTTGCCTACTGTGGAGCTTGTTTTTTTTAGCATTCTCCTCCTTTCTGAAGAACAAGGTCATTACAATGTTAAGTACCCTAGAGGAGGATATAAAACCCATTGTACCATCTTTAATTTACATTCCCGTGCATTTATTAGGTAATGAATTCATCTGTGTGCTCTGCATATTTATAAGTTTCAGGTCAGATGCTGCTGAGTAGAGATAGCACCATCTACAGACGTCTCAAATATCCTTATCATATTTTTTTATCTACCAAACAACCTCCCATTTGTTTCAATGTAACAAGCTGACAGAATGAGACTATGTTTCCAATGAGTTATTATCTACATGACGCATGCAAATTTTAGCCTATTGTTGTGCAAAATCCGTGGGCTTTGATAAGTGTCACTAATTACGAATATGTGCCTGTGTTGAATCCTTGCGGCAGGGGCAAGTTAAAGCCTGACCAGCCAGCCATGTATAACTTCATTTTCCTCCCAGCTCTAGCAGAGAGGTTTGTTTATTCAAATGTCAGGAAATACTTGGCCAGTGTGCTTTAGAAGCTCATGAAAGACAAACTGATTCGTTCCACATACCGTAGCTTGTTACCATGGGTTCAGGTGCCGGTAGTCCAACAGCAAAGGCCCCACTCATGAAGCCAAAATTTGTCCCCCCGTGGAACATGTAAAGGTTGATGGACATGTCCAGCTTAAGGATTTTGGTCACCACAGGTATCATTTCTGTCGAGAAAACCAAAATAAGGTTTTATTTCGCTGAAAGTTTCCCATATGACCAATGAGTGAATCAGGGAATAACAAACAGGACTTGAAGTCACAAAAGGGGGAAAACAAATCCACACAGACTCGAATTTAATGAGCTAGAGCGGCTGTTTTAATACCCCTATTGCCCTCAGTGTCACTTTAACTGAAACACAAACCACAAATCCTATTACAGGAAACTATAATTTATTACGGGGCAATGCTCACACCCAAAAAATGGCCTATTTTCTTGCACAAATAAGCTTAATATATTTTGTAATGAACGTGGCTAAGAAGGTAATTAAGAATTTAAATTGAATTTTAGTAGTGTAACTGGACTGAGTTTAATGATTCTAATCAAGAGGCGTTAGCCTTTTTGAATAACAATCGGGCTAGGCGAGCAGTAGAGCTGGACTCGGCTGGTTTCATGGTGGCAGAACTCACTGTGACCAACTGCTGGGTGTGCTGCAGTCTGCAGAGCACTGAACTGTCAAGGACATGAATCCCCCTCTGAATATTTCAGTGTTCATTTCATTGCTGTGACAGTTTCTGCGTGGTGAGGGTTTTTCTTTCTCCCCATTTTCCTTTTCAGAGCATTTTTTTTGTTAAGATGCGGATGGCTGCTAGGAATGACAAGAGCAAAAAGGAGGCTTGAGGCACTGCAATCTTTTCAAGAAATAAGATGTTTCCAAGAGCACTCAGGATGATGATGCCAGAGTGTCTGACTGCCATTAATCTCAACAATTGTGAAATAGGTGCTATCATTTACGTCATGACTGTGCATTAGACTATAAATAACACACACACACACAGCAGCAACATATGGAGCATGTTATACAGATGATATGTGGGGTACAATGTAGAGTTAAAGAGAGAATTCTTAGATTAAAAGACATGAAGATTTGCTGTTTTATACAACCCTGTTAAACATACATACACATATATACATATACACACATATATACATGTATACACATATATATTTGTGTACATTTGTGTATATATATCAGCAAATAGCTAATATATCAGTCAGGCCTGGGTAAAATATAAATAATAATACAATGTAATGATTTTTTAACCAATATAAACCATTATTTAATTTAAAACAGTACAAAGATAAGATATGAAATGATGAAAATAAGAAACTGCATTGCTTTATGAAACTGTACTGCACAAACTTGTTTATCCCAAAATACATAGGAAAACTCCATTAGTATTTACTTTTTCTGCCACTATATACTTTTGCTCCATTGCAATTTAATCTATTTCTATTTTTTTTAATTCAAGTGCAACAATAAACCATTGTAATATGTACAAGTTACATTTAAATTAAATAAGTGAATTGCTATTTCTATACTTGTTTGCTATAATTTCACATAAAAGTGTCAGAGATTGCAAATATAAAAAAGATTCTACAGGAATTTTGTCATTTTTGGCAAGGTCTCATTTGAAAAGAGATTTTAATCGCAAAGACAAAGATAAAATCAAAATTAAATAAATAAGTAAATGTCCTTTGCTCTTAAGCAGGCAGATATTGCATGAAACATGCATCACGTTATTTCTCATGCAAAATACAAACCAGTATAGCAACACTATGGGAAACCCATGATGATGTCTTCCCACCAACAGAAATGTAGTGCACAACACTTGATCTGTATCAGTGTTTTTGTATCCGTTTATCTTTTGTGAGGCTGCAGGAAATACAGATGGGAACTCCTCCACCTCAGTTCAATAAAAATCAGTGAAGCATATCTTTGAACAATTCTGCAATTAAGAGCATGGTACACAGCCTCTGGTCTGTGATACTTGGCTTACAATCAACCAAGCATTAAAGCTATATAAATCTCTAACAAAGCCATCAAACAAGTAAGAAATGACCATATGCTAAGCTGTATACCCCAGCTGCACTGTGTGGGCTCAGCACCTTCTTTGAAGAAACATGGCGTTAGACACTGTCTTACACTCAGCCTGAAGAAAGGCTCACACAGCTCCCATGGCAGTGAGTTTGTCCTTACACAGTCTTTCCTCTGGCATAGACACTGTTTTATACTCAGCTAAAAGGTTTGTCTTAAACCTCTCTTACCCTACGGCACTGTGACTCTGTCTTACTCTCAAGACAGCCTGTTTTACTTTCAGTGATTTTGTAGTAGCTTGCAGCACCAAACCTGTCTTGCTCTTGCCTCAAATTATCCACCACTATCGACCGTCTGTAAAAAAAAAAAAGTTTCACCCACAACAAAGAATCCATCTGCAGTAATCCTAACTTACGCTCATTCGAACCCCACACGCTCATCATGGATCCCGAATCTCTCTTAAAGAAAACATGTTCTTTACATTTGTAAAAATAAAGCACGTCTTACCTTCAGCAGTGTAAACATGGTGGAGCCCGCCCCAGAGATCAAACCAGCCAGACCAGTACTCCATCACCATTTTAGGTTTCTGAGGCTAGTAAAGAAAACATGTTTTAGTGTAACTACTCAACCAGTAAAGCAACTGATAGTTTGAACCTTTCAAATCCCTTTCATAGAAAACAGTTTCAGTTTGTTTTACCAGGATTGTCTAATTCTTGCAGAGAGCACTAAGTGTGGTGATGAGTCTGATTATATCAGAAAACTCCAAAATCTATCAACATGAATTTAACTAATTTAGTGGCAAGAAAGACTTGCTTGTATTTGTTCCAGATACTTGATTTCATCTGGGTCCAGTTTTTGAAAATTGATGGTTTCCAGAGCTGCAAACAAAAAAAAGGACACATATTACGTTAAATAAGGCAAAATATTAAACCACTCTTCAGAGAGGTATTAGTCATTCAACCATGAATTGGTAGTATCTGAATGAAACTAAATTATCCTTTAGTTGGTAAAGACAGGAAAGGCAGGAAATTGTTCTGATAAAAGACTGTGAACATACAATACTGCGCAAAAGTCTTGAGCTTAGCACTTAGCACTAATTGGAATCACTCAAGCATAAAAAAGGCACCTAACTCAAGGGAGATGTGTATACATGTAACAGAATACTTAGCAAAGAGAACATTTTAAATTGTATCTTTAGGCAATTTGTTACCAGCAGTCTGTTGTAGAAACACATAATTTGTTCCAATTTATTTAGCTGAATCTCTGAAAACTGCCAAAGATAACAGTCTGAAAGGCATAAAACAGTATTTCTGCTCTAACAGTGTGATTCCCAAAGAACAAACAGCCAAGAATTTGTCATATCTCAGCAAACAATTTTGAGGAAACTGGACAAGTGAATTATCTGCAGCTGTAGATAATCTTAAATCGAGTGTAGCTCCAGCGGTAGAGCACGTCATCCATTAATTAGAAGGTTAGTGGTTTGATCCCTGGCTGCTGCAGTTTGCATGCCAAAGTATTCCTGGATAGAAAGTTAGACAGAAAGCACTTGGGTGTAGCGGGGGAAATAAACGTTTGTATGATAGGTAAAAGAGGCACGTTGCATAAAGTTCCCCGAGTGCTTGAGTAGAGTAGAAAACTGCTATAGAAGAACCTGTCCATTTAGCAGATTAACAGTATCCTTTAGAAAGTTGTCTCACTTCAAAGCTCATAACCTGCGAGATGCAGCTGACCTCTCAGGGGATCAATCTACTGTTCACCAAAACGTGATCAGAAATGGTCTCAGTGAAAGGGTGACTGTCAAGAAACCATTTGCAAGGATGAGAAACAGGGAGAAAAGGCTGAGCTCTGCCATATTACACGACAACAATTACCCTATCAGTCATGGACAAACCTCCCAAAAGCCGCAAGCTCAACATTATTGAAGCAGTGTGAGATCATCTTGACAGAGAACAGAACAAAAGGCAGCCAACATTCAAAGAAGAGCTTTGAATGTCCTTCAAGAAATCTGGAGAATTATTCCTGAAGACTACTTCAAAAAAGCTTGTTTACAGGAGTCTATGAGCGTCAGTGTTGAAAAAAGAAGGTGGCCACAAACTGAAACTCTGTGTTAGCCTTTATTTTGTATTTCCAGTGATGCTTGCACATAGTTTAAACTGTTTTTCCCATTTTGCTAACAAAATAGAAAGAAATGAGAGGTAGCTTGAGACTTTTGCACAGTACTTTTTGAAAAATTATTAGAAATACATTTAAATATTTTAAGTGATGGTGGATGCTGGTTTCTAATTATATGAATACTACACATCGGAATATATCAGTAATACCAAGTATCAATCAAAATGCTTTAGCACTGCAGTAAAAACCAACAGTACATAATGGTTACTAATTAATGTGAATTCAAAAACATTTCTGGTATGACACTAAGATTTGGTTCTGCATTGTAGTTGTGCAACACTGGCGTGCACTTATTTCCGACGTTTTTGCCGTTGTGCATAAAAATGAGACATGCCAGCCAACATATTGTAGAATGTGTGTGTGATTGATTGGCCATTTGTGCATACAGCAGCTTGTTTGTCTGCCAGCCAATCTGACAATACCTCCTTTCACTCCTCCAAGCTTCAGCCCGTCCTTGTTGTCTGAGGTCAGCAGCAGCTCTGTGATACCCCTTGACAATAGCGCCTGTAAAGATCGGAGGGTGGGGGTATTATAGAGGAAACTAAACAAAACCAAAATTATATATTATATTTTTGAATATATATATATATA